GAGAAAGTCATGTGATTGCAGGTTGTCAGCAGGGCTGGGTGGCCTGGGACCCTGAATTCCTAGCAAGCCCCAGGTGATGCTCACCCCGCGAGTCTCTGGAACACATTTTGCCGCAGTGCATAGTATTCTACTTGCCAGGACGCATGCGCACACACCTTTACTCCGGAGTCCAGGAACACCTTGGCCATTCCGGGAAATATCACCATGTCCACGATCTTAGGTTCCTCGTCATCTGGCAGGAGGAAATACTCAATGTGGTAGAAACGACGAAGCTTTGCGATGTGATTGTCTAGTTTGGGGTGTTTCTTGAATTTTTCCAGAATGTTTAGATATTTTCCTTTAATTCCTAGAAGGGGTTAAGTTGAATGAATGAGCTTTGTTTTCACCACGTGGGGGGAAAAGCAGGCCTCTCGCCACAGCCCCCTGGAGCCAAGTGCTATGGGAAGTGCCTCCCAGGGGCCCTGCATTGAAACTTTGATCACCAGCCTGTGCGGGCTGCTGGAATGTTCTAGAATGGTTAAAGAGGTAGAGAGCCTCATGGGAGGAACTTAGGTCATTGGAATGTGACCTTGAAAGGAACACTGGGGCCACAGGTGGCATCTGCCTGTCATCCTATGACTTGGGAGGCTGAGTCAGGAGGATCTCAAGATGGAGGCCAGCCTCAGCAACTTAGCAAGGCCCTAAGCAACTCAGTGAGACTTTGTCTCTAAATAAAATATAAAAAAGGCTGGGGACGGGGCTCAGGGGTTAAGCACCCTTGGGTTCAATCCTTGCCCCCCCCCCCCCGAAAAAAAAAAAAAAAACTTATGCTAAGTTGCTACATTGCTGAGGCTGGCCTCCAACTTTTGATCCTCAGCCTCAGCCTCCAGAGCTGCTGGGATGGCAGGCGTGCCCCACGGGCATCCATAAAAAAAATGCAGACTGACTGGGAGCACATCACCTGCTTCTCAGTAGCACAAACCACTTTTTTTTTTTTGCAAAATGAATTGGAATTCTGCTTGACCACCTACCAAAATTCACCGGGAATGCCAGAGAGATAATGAATTTGCAGGGGACCACCTGGGGGACGTCAGGCTCAAAGGGGCTGACGTGCTCTTCTTCCAAGGAGCCAAGGGTGCCGTAGCGACCTTCATAGTCGTACTCCTGCACCCTGGTCCCCAGGTAATCCTCCACCACACAGTCGTTGGTGGTCTGGAAAAAGCTGTGTAGAGAAGTCAGGGGGTCGATGATGGCCGCGTCCTCATCCTCCCACTCCCAGGCGTTCAGCGACATGATGCTGGGCTGGCTGTCCCGGCTGGGGGAGAAGAAAGGTGCAGTCACCCTCTGCCTGCAGGAGGGAAGCCCCGCCTCCTTGGGGAAGCCCCGCCCCTTCTCTCCTTCCCCTCTTCTCCTGCAGAGCTGTCCCCTCACCCTACCCAATGCCAGACATTGAATGGGCATTGGATGCTGGCCTGAGGGGACAAGTTCAAGATCTATAGAGGTAGCCGAGCACAGGCGGTGGCTCATGCCTGTCATCTCAGGCTGGGGAGGCTGAGGCAGGAGGACCGCAAGTGGGAGGCCAGCCTCAGCCACTGAGTGAAGCCCTAAACAACTCAGGGAGACTCTGTCTCTAAATAAAAAAATAGAAAGGGCTGGGGACGGGGCCCAGTGGGTGAGCCCCCCCCCCTGGGTTCAATATCTGGTCCCCCCCAAAAAAAGAAAATCTATGGAGACACAATCCCGGGGACTGTTGGAGGCAGGCAGGGAGGCCGAGCTGGGAGGCCGGGCTGGGACATCTGGAGTGAGGAGACACATAGGGACCGGGGTCCTCCAAGACGCGGAGTACCTGTGCGCGGAGTGGCAGCCCCTCGGCTCAGCCCTTGGCCTCAGTTGCCCCGGGGACTTGACAGCAGCGAAAAGCCCCGCAGGCGGGCGCAGCAGCTGCGAGTCCCGCAGGCCCTGGCCCTTTGGCTTTGTTTGGCCGTTGCTAGGAGACGGGCGGGCACTTGAGGCTAGGGGCGGGGCTAGGGGCGGGGCCTCGGCGCCCAATCAAAGTCTGTCAAACTGGTGCGTTGGAGTTCCTAGACCAGTTGTGCTTTCATCCGTTCAGTCTTTAAGGAGCTCCTACTCTGGGCATAAGCACTTATTATGCGCCTGATGTTTTTCTTTTTCTTTTCTTTTTTTTTTTTGGAGGGGGGTACCAGGGATTGATCTCAGGGGCACTGAACCCCTGAGCCCCCTCCCCAGCCCTATTTTGTATTTTATTTAGAGACAGGGTCTCCCTGAACTGCTTAGGGCCTCGCTTTGGCTGAGGCTGGCTTTGAACACTCGATCCTCCTGCCTCAGCCTCCCGAGCTGCTGGAACTACAGGGGGGCACCACCATGCCCTGCTATACAGACAGGGAGCTAACACTCTGGGCAATGTTGGAGCTCTTAGGGTTTGGGTCTAGAATGTCCCCCCAAAACTTGTGTGTTGGAAGCATGGTACCCCCATGCAGCAAGGTTAAAAAATGGGGCTTTTAAGCAATGACTAGTTCGCAAGGGCATTGACCTTATCCATGGATTAATCCATTGAAGGCTAAATGCATTACTGGGGGTGGGGTCTGCCTAGTTAAAGGAAGTAGGTCACTGGAGAAGTACCCTCCCCGGTGGTGTGGCTCTGTCTGTCTCTGTCTGTCTGTCCCTCTCTCTCATTCCTTTTCCTGGCTGCCATGAGCTGAGCCTATTTCTTCCCTAGATGTGCCTAAGAATCCCCCAGAACAAATATCAGAAATTAGATTCTGGCCCATATCTGTAATACCAGCACCTCCGGAGGCTGAGGCAGGAGGATCGCAAGTGGGAGGCCAGCCTCAGCAAAAAGACCCTAAGCAACTCAGTGAGACCCTGTCTCTAAATAAAATTCAAAAAAAAAAAGAGGGCTGGGGATGTGGCTTAGGGGGGTTGAGTGCCCCTGGTTAAATCCCCAGTTGGAAAAAAAGAAAGGAGGAGGAGGAAGAGGAGGAGGAGGAGGAAAGGAAAGGAAACCACTTCTTGGGACAGACACACCCGGGTAACTCGATGAACTATGGAGAAAAGTTAACGATGGCAAAGCTGTTTATTTTAATGCTTGGTTCATGTGCAAAGGGATCTGTGCTTTTTATGTCAACTTCACTGAGGTACAATTGACATCCTGTAGAATCGTCCCCTTCAAACACTCATGAATGCAAAAAGTCTGGAAATACATACTGCCCAAAAGAACCAGGGTCCCCTCTTGGTGACAGGATGGTGGATTCCTTTGCCTGATAGCATTTTTCTAGACTTTGAACAATGCACAGTTGGAATCGCCTCCAAGGATACAGAAGTGACTTCAGAGAAAGGTTTCTTTGCCAGGGCCTCTCCCCCTCCCCCTCCCCTCCCCCGACCCCCTCCCCCAGCTCATACAAAGGAACCCTGGGAGACCCAGGAGTTTGCTCACTTTGAACCTCAAACAAAAACCTTATGGATGCAATTGGAATGATTTCCAAGGCCCCTGGTAACCGGGCCCCACAGAGGGACAGGCCCGACAGAGTGCCATTATACCCCAGGCCCCCCGAGGTGCAGGGCAGCTGCTGTGACCAGGGAACGGTCTCCAGAGCCAGATTCTGAGAGGCTTTCTTTTCAATATTGACTGGGCCCAGAAAGTGACTGTTCAAAGGATTCCTTTAGCACAAGCAGTTACCAGCGTGGTGACAGGAGACAGAGGCATGTCACTTGTTTGCCTGGGCGACCAAGTCTCAGCAATACTAGGAAATCAAATCAGATTCCCTAGATGTGCCTAAGAATCGCCCAGAACAAATATCAAAAAATTAGATTCTGGCTGTTAGTTGTTAACCCATGCCCATAATACTAGCACCTCTGGAGGCTGAGGCAGGAGGATCACAAGTTGGAGGCCAGCCTCAACAACTCAGTGAGACCCTGACTCTAAATAAAATACAAAATAGCCCCGTCCCCAGCCCTTTTTATATTTTATTTAGAGACAGGGTCTCACTGAGTTGCTTGGGGCCTTGCTATCATTGAGGCTGGCCTCCAACTTGCGATCCTCCTGCCTCAGCCTCCCGAGCCACTGGGTGTGCACCACTGTTGCTATAGTTACACACACATTAACATTGCATATAATATAGTGTGGCTGGCTGTGTTTGCTCATCCCCAATTTTTTCCTGGCTCATGTGCTTAGACACCAGTTCCTCATTCCTATAAACAATGACGCAGTGACCATCCTGTGGCCCTGCGTTTTTCTAAGGTAGAAGCCAAGGAGTGGAAATGGCACAAAACTTTTTGTCCACTTTCTATTAGTTTTATAATTTTTTTTAATGTAGAAAATGGTTTTGAGGTGAGGCAGCTAACTCCTTTCCAATCCAGGTGCACCTTGGACAAAGTTTTCAAGAATGAATGGGAATTTGCTGACCTGGATACTGTGGCAGAGACACAATTTTAGTGGAATGATTTTATTTATTTAAATAAAATAAATAAACCACTAAGCCCCATTATCAGCCCTATTATTATTATTATTATTATTATTATTATTATTGATTTTGAGAAAGCATGTTGCTAAGTTGTTTAGGGCCTCGAGAATTGTTGAGGCTGGCAGCAAACTTGCAATCCTCCTGCCTCAGCCTCCCAAACCACTGCGCCACCACACCCGACAGGATTTGATATTTAAAACCACAAATGCAAAAGTCTGCCCTTCTAGTAGACAAGGATAGTGGGGCCTCTTGCTCCAAAGTGGCTGGGTAATAAAAAGACTTAAAAGCAACCTTTGAAGCTCATCTCGGGCCAGAACTGAAACTCAGGTTCCCAAGGCCAATTTCCCAGGCAGGTGGAACTGCTTTCTGGGGAGCCCAGTCCCCCAGCCTCCAAGGCGCATGCGCGCACTCAGCTCTAGACGATCCCAGGCTTCACGTAGTGGCTTCCCTCCCCCGGGCTGTCCCTCACCTTGTCCCCTCTCCTGCTAAATCCGTTTCCCCTTCTTTTCTAGTTCCCAGATGGGGCTCTCTGCACCACCACGGCCGAGCGAGAAGCGTCTTTGGGGAGCTGGTGGCTGAACTGTTGGGGACAAACGTCTCCGCGCAGAGTGGAGGGTGGGGACCCAGCCACTCCGACCGCCCCCAAGTGGGAGGCAAAGAGCCGACGCTGGAAACGCCCCCGAGGGGCTGAGGACACGGGTGCGCCCGGGTCGCAGGGATCCCTCCAAAGCAACTGAGGTCAACCCAGGGTTTCTGCGCATCTGCCACTGGACACGGTCCAACCAGACGGCCATCGCCAAGCTCTTCCTTTCGGGAAACTCTGGGGCCGCCCCTGGAAGTGGCGGGGCGGAGGAACAGGAGCCAGGGAACCGAGGGCCGCCGCGATGGAGCCGGCCGGCCCGAGCGCGGAGGAGGCCGGCGCGGAGGCCGGGGTTGGAGACCCGTATCGGAGGCCGGCGCGGCGCACGCAGTGGCTGCTGAGCGCCCTGGCTCACCACTACGGCCTGGATCGCGGCGTGGAGAACGAGATCGTGGTGCTGGCCACCGGCTTGGACCAGTACCTGCAGGAGGTCTTCCACCACCTGGACTGCCGAGGCGCCGGTCGCCTTCCGCGCTCCGACTTCCGCGCGCTCTGCGCCGTTTTGGGGCTGCGCGCCGAGGGCGCCGCCTCCGGGGAGGCCACCGGGGATGCGATCCCTGGAGACTCCGGGGATGGGACCTCCTCCGGGGATGTGGCCGCTGCTGATGGAGACGCGGACGCCCAGGAGGAGGCGCGTCTGGCGCTGCGCGCGGAGCCCCCGGAGCTCACTTTCCGCCAGTTCCACGCGCGCCTCTGCGGCTACTTTGGCACCCGCGCGGGTCCCCGGCTGCCCCGCGGAGCGCTCAGCGAACACATCGAGACGCAGATTCGCCTGCGCCGCCCGCGTCGCCGCCGCCGCCGCCAGCACCCGACCCGGGTGCAGGGTCCCGACGAGGGTGGCCCCGAGGGCCCGGAGGGCGAGCGCGTGGCGAGGCTGGAGGAGGAGAACAGCAGCCTCCGCGAGCTGGTGGAGGACCTGCGCGCCGCACTGCAGAGCAGTGACGCCCGCTGTCTAGCGTTGCAGGTGCGCGCCCGCAGGCTGGTGGCCAAGGTGGTATCGTGGGTGGCATCGGAACTGCAGGCTGGGCCCAGGGTGGGCAGAAGACGAGGAAGGGAAGAGAGGGCAGCCCCACGCCATCCCACCCCCTTTCAGCCCCCTTGCTTTCTGTGCCAATCCTGCTCCCTGGCACTCCTATCCCACCGCCTCCAAACCTGCCCCACACAACCATCCCCAGCTCTCTGTCCCCATTTCTGCCCATCTTATCCACACACCCCTCATTTTTTTTTTTAGTACCAGGGATTGAACCCAGGGGGTGCTCACCCTCTGAGCCCCGCCCCCAGCCCTTTTTATATTTTATTTAGAGACAGGGGCTCGCTGAGTTGCTCAGGGCCTTGCTAAGTTGCTGAAACTGGCCTCCAACTTGGGATCTTCCTGCCTCAGCCTCCCCTGATGTTGGGATGACAGGCATGGGTCACCAGGCTGACAGAGAGAGAGAGAGAATTTTTTAATAATTATTTTTTAGTGGACACAACATCTTTATTTTATTTGTATGTGGTGCTGAGGATCTAACCCAGCGCCCCGCGCATGCCAGGCGAGCGCGCTACCGCTTGAGCCACATCCCCAGCCCCCTGCCTCAACTTTATATGAACACCCTTCGTCCCTCGCCAGTCACCTGGCCAGGAGGGGGCAGAGAGGATCGTCCTGATGCAGACAAGTGTCAAGGTGCTGGCTTTCAGTGGCCATATGGGTATGGAAGCCGAAGGGCAGGTGGCAGAGCCCAGGGTGGAGATAGGACAGTATCCCCAGGACGTGAAATCCCTAGGATGTGGGTGAAAAGATGGTTCCTGATCATGCATTATCATTTATTGGGCACCTACTGTGTGCTAGCTGTTGGGCTCTGGGGACACCGAAGTGAACAGGACAGACAAACCCCGCCCCTCCTCAATGAGCCTCAAGGAAGCTGGAATCTTCCCGTTTGAGGTGCCCAAGCTCAAGTCTGGGGCATGAGAAGCGCCAGGTTGAATGGTACAAATGCAGGACAGAGGCCAAGAAAAAGTCACATAGTTTAGGAATCGTTGTCACCATGCAAAGGACAGAATATGGGCTTCGTGCCTCTAAAGGGGGAACCGTTCAAGTTCCAGCCTCATCAGGGACATTCTGAGTACTGAATGAATCCAGACACTAGGCTCTTATAGGAAACCCTGGCACTGGCAAGCAGAGCGTGCAATTAACATGCGCCACTGTTTTGCCAACGTGCTTCTGCATGCGCAGGAATGGGGGCAGCCGTCGTGGCTGGCATCCGTGTCGTGCATCTGGTACCAGGGCTCACCTCCTGCTCCCTGGTCCCCTGATCCCGCAGGTTGGCCTCTGGAAGAGCCAGGCAGGAGCGCACGAAGAGGGATGTGGCAGGCCCGAGGCGGTAGCGCGGGAGCTGCGACAGGCACAAGGAGCGCTGGCGGCGGCGGAGGCCCGCGCTGGGAGGCTGCAGCAGGGCCAGGCCGAGGTGCGGCGACGCGCAGAGGAGGCCCGGCAGGCCGTGCTGCGCAGCCTGAGCCGCGTGCGGGAGCTGGAGGCGCTGGCACAGCAGGTGCCCAGCTTGCAGCGCTGGGTGCAGCAGCTGGAGGCGGAGCTACAGCGCTACAGGTGAGAGGGGGTGTGACCAGGATTCGCCCAACCAGCATTACATGGGTGAGGGGGCGTAGTTAGAATACGCCCAATCAGCGCTAAGAGGGGGCGTAGCCAAGAAGCGCCCAATCAGCTGTACGCGTGAGAGGGGTGTGGTCAGGATGCACCCAACCAGCGCTACCGGGAAGGAGAGGGGCGTGACCAGGATGCGCCCAACCAGCACTACATGGACGAGGGGGCGTGGTCAGAATACGCCCAATCAGCGCTAAGATAAAAGGGGGCGTGGTTAGGAAGCGCCCAATCAGCTATACGCGTGAGGGGGTGTGGTCTGATGCACCCAACCAGCGCTACCGGGAGAGGGGCGACACCAGGATGCGCCCAACCAGCACTACATGGGTGACGGGGTGTGGTTAGAATGCGCCCAATCACACAGCGCAACACGTGTGAGGGGCGTGGCCAGGATGCCCCAACCAGCGAGGGGGCGCGGTTAGAAATCGCCCAATCAGCGCTAATATAAGAGGGGGCATGACCAGGAAGCGCCCAATCAGCTCACGTTTCCCCAAAGCTCAGCCGTGCATTGTGCCCCCCAGCCAGGGGTTTCCAGGTTTGCTCCTGCACTCTGTCGTCTCCTCATTCATTCATCAGTTCTTGGGTTTTTTAAATCCTTCGCGACTTTTCTTCTTGTTCTGCATCTGTGCATCCAGCCTTCTGGTCACATCCATTCAGAGATCCCAATGGGTGGACGGATTCTTCTTCAATTTTTTTTATTCATTCTTTTTAGTTGCACATGACAGCAGGATGTATTTTGACTGTCCTGTCTATGTGGAGTATAACTTGGCATTTTTATGGTTGACATGATGTGGAGTTAGGATGTTTTGAGGGTTTTTTTTTATTTTTTATTTTATTATTTTTTACTATTTTATTTTTTATTTATTTTATTTTATTTTTTATTTATTTTATATTTCATTTTATTTTTTATTTTATTTTTTATTTATTTTATTTTATATTTTATATTTTATTTTATTTTTCATTTTATTTATTTTTTATTTTTATTTTATTTTTTATTTTTATTTTATTTTATTTTATTTTTTATTTATTTTATTTTATATTTTTTATTTTATTTTATATTTTATTTTTTATTTTATTTTAATTTATATTTATATTATATTATATATATTTTTTGGAACCAAGGATGGCACCCAGGGGCACTTTACCATGGAGCCCCATCCCCAGCCCTTTTTACCTTCTATTTAGAGACAGGGTCTCTCTGAGTTGCTAACTTGCGGAGGCTGGCTTTGAACTCGCCATCTCAGCCTCCCTACTCGCTGGGGTCATAGGTGGGCACCACCGCCCACCGTTGATCCTTCTCCTTAGGAATAATCTATATTCTTATCCTGAGGCTATCAGTGTGTGGGAGCCCTGAGTCATGGTGGCTTGCCTTGTTGAAGTGAGGCAGCACCATGAGCTGGGTCCTGTTAGGTTCCTGTCCTTCCACCGAGGAAACAGGTTTATCATGACCCTTGCTCTAGCTGGACCAGGTTCAAATCCCGGCAGGGCTGCTTTGGGCAAGTCCCCAGCCCTCTTGGAACCTGTTTCCTGTCGTGGTGGAGACTGGCTGTGAAGAGGCGAGGAGGTTCTGAGTTGCACATAGTAGGTGCTCAGTAAACAGAGCTTCCTGGGTCTTCAAATCACAAGGCCCGCCTCCCTGCCTGGCCAGAGACCATGCTCAGCATCAGGGATGTGACGGTGGACAAGGCAGACCCAAATCCCTGCCCTGGATAGTCACCAGTGAACATGGGGACACAGGTTTGTCCCCCAAGAGCAGGTGTGTGGCCGCAGGCTGGATGAACGCTTACCAGGCATAGGGGTGAAGGGACAGGGACCCTCACCGTGCTTGCAGCAGGCTCTGCCCACCCTGGAAAGAGTGACTCAGAGCAGAGGATGGTGGAGAGGGAAGCATGTTCTCTTCTCAGAAACGGGAATGAGTTGAAGCAAAGCCTCCAGGCCAGGGAGACCTGATGGAACATTCTAGAAACTAAAAAGAGTTGTCACTGGACAAAGAAAGCCCCAGGGACCAGAAAAGGTCAGGCCTCTTAGAATCTGGAAGGTGGACACAAGGAATTTAGTTTTTCCCCTTCCAAGAACAGGAACCCAGGGAAAAGTTTCACTCAACGGGGGACAGAAGCCGATTTGCATCTCAATAAAAAAATTACCCTGGCTCCTGGTGACAAAGAGACAGGGGGAGGGGGGAGGGGGGACAGGCAAGAGCCCGGGAGAGGAGCTGTTATCCTGCAGTTTGAGAGGAAGGTGGTCTGGCTCGGGCTGGGGGGCTGGGGGGCAGGGCAGCCAGAAGGGGTTTGGCTTTGGACCTGACTCCCGGGGGCGGGGGATCTAAGCTGGGGGGGGAGGCAGGCCTCCAGAGAGGCTGACTTGGGCCAGCCTCCTGCAGCTCCACATGTTTGGATAGTGGTTTCCTGTTTGCATTGCTGATCCGCTAAAGAGCCCAGGGCTCCTTGGCTTGAGGCCCAGGTCCAGCCTTTGGAAGCCTCTCCAAGAGGAGAAATAAAGGATCTCTTCTTTGTTTTGCTGTTAAGGTCCCAATTAGTCCTTGGTCAAAGGGACGGCAAACATGAAAGTCGCCCTTTGCAGTAGAATAGATGGATTCCTAGCCGCGATACCACTGAATACTCCCGAGACTGGACAAGGTAGAAATGTTCTCCCACTTTACAGATTGGTGGAAGTGAGACTATGAGAAGCTAAATAACATACCCCCAAGGCCAGAAAATGGAAAAGTAAGGTCTGCCTGCTCCCCACGACCTGTGAACTTTCTTTCCACGTGACTTTCCCCCCCCCCCATTGATTCATGGTTACAAAGTGGCTGCAGAGCCTCCAGCCTTTGCATCTGCTGTTCAGACACAAGAAAGAGGACAGGCAACATTGGGAATGGGGAAATTTTTCCTCTCAAAGGAGACATGCCTTTGTTCCCCAATAGAACTTACACCTATATCTCACTGGCCAGAAATTGTCATGTACGTCCTCCCACCTGCAAGAGAGTCATGTTCTCCCCAAATGAAATCAGAGTTCCATTTGTAAACAAGAAGAGGAGCTGGGCGCGGTACCATATGCCTGTCATCTCAGCGGCTCGGGAGGCTGAGGCAGGAGGATAGAAAGTTGGAGGCCAGCCTCAGTCACTTAGCGAGGCCCTAAGCAACTCAGCGAGACCCTGTCTCTAAATAAAATATTAAAAAAGGGCTGGGGACGGGGCTCAGGGGTTACGTGCCCCTGGGTTCAATCCCTGGCACCAAAATAATAATAATTAAGAAGAAGAATCATCGATCTCTGAATGAGCAAATGGGCTCTTCGTGGATAGGACTGTGAGCCTGATTGGGGAGCGGCCCACCCCTCCTCTGCAGCAATCACTGGGAGGAAAGAGCCCATCTCTCCCTTGTAAGTGAGATCACGCTAGAATGTTCCAGGTGCTCAGCAGATGTGCCCTTGGGGGACGGGGAGCAGGAGGGGGGAGCAGTGGAAAGACTGGATTCTCTTCAGGAATGACAGCTTGAAGCCATTTGGAATGACCCAGCATCTCCTAGTTTCCAAAACCCTTTCCCAGACGACCACCCCCCTAGACGATAACTGTGGGCGCCCTGAGGGGCTTGGTTCAAGTGAGGACACCCCCAGGCCTGGGTGGCTTCACTGGGGATCACATACCCAGAAAACAGAGACTCCCACCTCGGCCGGCTTCCCTCCAAGGACCTGATGGTCTCTTCCTGGGACTTCTGTTGGGGACTTTTTCACAATTTTCATTCCCACCCTGCTTAGCCCTTAGACCATGGGTTCTACCCAATCCTTGATCTCTTTAGCTTTTAAATATACCCTCAGCCCTCCTTTGCCCTGAGCCGCCCACTCACGCATTCCACTGACGGAGGGCCGAAAAAATATACAGAAAACCGTTGGGCAGTCATCCCAGCAGCTCGGGAGGCTGGGGCAGGAGGATCGCAAGGTGGAGGCCAGCCTCACTCATTGAGCCTGAGGCCCTAAGCAACTTAGTGAGACCTTGTTTCAAAATTAAAAAAATCAAAAGGACTAGGGATGTGGCTCAGTGGTTAAGCACCCTCCTGGGTTCCATTCCTGGTGGGTGCATATATAAATTTATATACATATAAAAATAAATTTAAATGCATATATAAATAAATTTATATACATATAAATAATTATAAATAAATAAATTTATATACATATAAATAAATTTATATATTCATATATAACTTATATATATATATATATATATATATATATATATATATATATATATATTTAAGGAAAGCCTTACATGCTCAGTACAGATGGAATTTATATATAAACATATACATAAATAGAGAGAGAGAGGCTGGGGTTGTGGCTCAGTGGTAGAGCACTCGCCTCGCATGCGTGAGGTCCTGGGTTCGATTCTCAGCACCAACATATTAAATAAATAAATAAAATTATTTTTAAAAAATAAAAATAAATAAATATATGATATTAAATATAGAATTATTCTATAATAATAATAATTATTATTATTATTCTATTCTAATTATTATTATTCTATAATAATAAATATATAATCATATTTTTATATATAAATTTAATATATATATTTATATATAAATTTAATTTTATATATATATAAAATTTATATATAAATCTATAGACATATAAAATATATACATATACGTAAATCCCATTGGTACTGAGCATGTGCAGACTTATCATTTTTTCCTTAAACAATCGACTATAACAGTATTCTATTACCATAGCAAGGTCGGTGACATGCACCATTTTTGAAAAATATTTTTGGTCGCAGATGGACACCATACCTTTATTTAATTTATTTTATTATTTTTTAGATTATTATTTTTCATATTTATTTTTAATTGTACACCATACCTTTATTTTGTTTATTTATTTATATGGGGTGCTGAGGATCGAACCCAGGGCCTCCCATGACTAGGCAAGTGCTCTGTCCCCTGAGCCCC